CCATTGGAGTTACATTCTAAGAAATCAAAGGTATTATGTTCTTTTTTTTTTTTTTTGCCTTCATTTATCCAAACAAATAAAAAATATATAATATTCAAGTTTCGTGCAGACTACTAGACCGAGATCGAGAAAACCAAATATTGGACAAGATACACATGTCGTTCAGACAGCCCAGCAAACAATATATTCCATACCCACACCATTGCCATATTCACAATTTATATTGGTAAGTAAATTATATTTTGAACTTAAACTTCTATGGCGTACATTTTACTTTGATGCAAGCTTAATCGTTTTCGTACGAAAATTATATTTCGAACTGATTCTTAATGCAGCCATTCCACTAAAGTGCTGTACCAGGTTCGATGTCAAGTACCACCCATTCCATTCCACATACTACTATTGTATCTGGTCCATCTGCTCAATTTCATATTCCAACTTCTGGAATGACATATCAAGCAGCTGGTATTGAAATGGCCCGTCAACTGGATGGTTCTTCAATAAGACCATTTTTCAATCCTATCGATGAACATCAATGAGCACGTGTCTTTTGTAATGAAAAAAACATAATGTTTGTACTACTCTGCAGTTATAAGTTGTGTTTATTTCAGATTGTAATGACTTCGTAATGACTTTATTTCATTAATTGTGATTTTGTAAAATTGCTACGTTGTGCTTGCTGAAGTTGTGAAGGGACAAAGGTGGAATGTTCATCTTGAGATTTATGATATAAGCAAACAGATTTCTTTTCTGCAATTAATGGGTATGAATACTCATTTTAGTGCAGGCTGTTTTCATATTGACAAGTCATACTCTTGATAAGTTTTGTAATTCTACATTTGGGATCAAATCACGTTTAGCCCCATATTGTCATAATCTAGCTTTATGGTGTGAATGACTTGTGAGTACAACGTGCCTATACCTTTTACAGAAAAATGCTTCTCCTTCCTTTCTCTAGTTTCGTTCTTATTAATAAGAAGAAGGTGGCAAGACTTTTAGGGTCAAACATAAATTGGACTGCCAATCACAAAGCAATGAATTGGTATTCATTGGTACCTTCGACTGCCCTAAGCATGGTTCGAGGGATGAAAAAAGTCCAAAATGAAGAACAAAAAAGAAGAGAAACTTACTAGTGTGAAAACTCGTGGAAAATAAGCGCAACGTGGAACGTCGTTTTGCCTCTTCTCGGTGGGATGACGGAGAATACACCAATGGACGGAATCAACGAAAAGGTAGAGTGGGCAAGAAATGTTGAGATTTCGGGGGAGACCGATTTGGGGATTAGGGTAGAGAATGAGATGGAGATTCTGGTAAGATTAGAGAGTGAGAGCGAGATCTGGGGAACCAACAATTCTGGGCCGGGTCAAGAACTTTTTTTTTTTTGGGCCGGATCTTTTTACTGTGCAGTTCCACGTATGAATTTTTGAAAAGCTGTAAAGGGGACTGTGCAGTAGGGCTGTAAGAGTAGCAAAACTCTAAGTAATAAATGCCCAAGATTCCTTTGGGTCCCATAATTACTTTTTTTTTTTATACTGATTATATTTATTTTTTTCTTTTTCTTTTTTCTCTCTCTTTTTTTGCTTATATCCATTTTCTATGAAAAGATAAATTTGTAACTAAAGATTCTCTTGACCTTTTTTCTTTCTTCATCCATATTTTTATGAAAAAGCTTTCTTTTTAAGTAAATTATAAGATTTTATATATAGAAGACTAAGAGCCTATTCGAGCTCAATTTTATTGTAAAAATACATTGTAGAATAGTATATTGATGAAAAATATGTGACTAAAAAATAAGAATTTTTTTTATATTTTTGTGTAATATTATTTTATTAAAGAATGTGAAATTGAAAAGAAGATGGTAAAATATATTTTCAAAATAATGAGGATTAAACAAGGGCTAAATTATAATTAAATTTATACATATTGATTTTGTTTTTACCTTTAAAGTATGCCATATTGACTATTAGTTATTTAATTAAGGTGATTTAAATTTTTATTCTTTTAAACATAATTTTTATTACATGGGGAGGGAAAGGAAATTATGTGAACCACTACCTTGTATGTAATTGCACTAAACACACGAATTCTATTTTAAATAAAAATCTTTTGAATTCTACAAAATCTATAACAATTTTAAAATGAAAGTCTATAGAAGTATACGAAAGACTTCCATTAATTTAATACAATACTATGAAGGTCCCCGAAATCCACAAAAGTCATCACTTAAAAAAAAAAAAAAAGCAAAGTCCCAATTAATACACCCCTTCAAAGTCTGTTAATTTAGGCATTTAATCCTACTGGACCCTTGTTAATCGAACTATTTTACAATGTCTGCAAAAATTAATGTCATATCATAGATCCAGACAACAAACATTTTTCGAACTTCTGAAATATATCTACACACCCCTGTTTCAACACTAAATATTAATGAAGATTCTAACAAACCAATGGTAATTAAATTTATATAAGGATCATGCTACTTGTACATTTTTTTTAACACTAAGTTTGACATTGTGCCACANGACATTGTGCCACATGTTGCATCATAATTAGACTAATAACTTAAACATTGCACACTTTCCCGCCAACAACATTTTGAATTTCCAAAGAAATGTCAAACTTTATGTCACCCAAACAATGTACAAGTGGCTTAATCCTTTATATAATGCAAGCCCCAACGACGCCAGAATTTTACAAAACAAAGCACCGTCTCATCACCACTAGTTTTTGTCCAATTGTTCTTCAACAGACAAGTGATGCCTTGCCATATCCGACAAAGCTATTAAGATGCAGAAACGGAAAAGAAAAAAGTTAAAAGGTGCAATCAATTTATTCGTATTCTTACTTTATGGGAGAGGAATTTCAAGTCAAATTGTATTGAGGGCCATAGTCCCTTTATTATATACTTTCTAACTCTCCCTTCTTTATCTATCAAGTTGGAAGAATCAAACAGTTCAAGAGGCATTACCAGAGAAGGTTCAGAATGAAGGATTTGGCCACCCCACTTATAGCTGCATCCCTCTTCGCATTTCTATCACCCGGACTAATATTCCAGCTTCCAGGGAAGCACCACATGGTCGAATTTTTTAACATGAAGACAAGCTTACCTTCCATTTTCCTGCACACTGTTATCTATGGTTTGCTTCTCATTCTCTTCTTTGTCATCCTCAATGTACATCTCTATGAATAGCCAGAAAGCTTCCACCCAAAATATGCCTAATATGCGGATTCAAGTTACTAGTATAATCTATTTCTTCTGTGTTAAGTTGTTATGCACTTGAAAAACTGGGTGCAGCTTTTAGCAGAATTGATCCTTAATTCAAGGATAATAAACAAGGCATCTCCATCTATTGTGTTGTGTTGTGTTGTATTATATTAAAGACCATAGTTATCACTTCAAAAACGTAAGTAACTTTAAGATCATCTTTGAATCACTTTATATATAAGTGGAACAGGTTATAAGATCAAACTAACATGATCTGGCACAATGAACTACAACAAATCATTATATAACCAACCCTAAAGTACTAAAAATAAGGCATAGTCTATTGTTGTATCATTTTACACAGAATTTGACGAACTTTCAATCACTTCGTATAGAATTTTGGTTTCTTTTGTAGATTTGAAAGCAAAAACAAAAAAATAGATGCATTGTTGACAGAATATTGGATCAACTGATAGATCTTCTGAGACAATTCTGCAACTGTCATTAACAGTGGAACAGGAACCAGAAACCATATTTTATTGGGGGTTCACTTGTCCTACTCATCAGTCGTCATCCTTCCCACTGTTAGCATTTTATTTTCCAAATGGTTTCTCCATGAAATCACAGAATTTTCATTTTCGATAGATAAAATTCTGAGTTACACCATGACAGATGACAATTCCGCATTTGATTCCTGCTTGTGCATTAAATTGTCACATGACAATGCAAAGTGCTAATTATGCTGATTCCACCACTAATACAATCATTCACTTGACCTCAAATTACAAGTAAATTCCATTAAAAAAACTAATCATAGATTCTGAAACTCAAGGAAAGATATTCAATCAATCATCATTTTCTTCTTTTTAGTTTTGGGTTTTCAATTGAAATATCATTATACACAGTGAATTTAAGATAATCAGCCAAACTTTAGCAATGGCAGAAGGGAATGTGGCAGGGGTATAAGGGGCATTAATATATAAAGGCCAGCAGTTGTGAAGAGGACACGAGAGGTTACCAAATGGGGGTGATTACAGGAATTGAGATTTAAATTTGAGAAAAGTGAACGTTAACAAATGCAGTGCTGGACAATACATATTGGTGCCCACACAGTGCTTCAAAGAGTGATATAAAAGTTTGGACCCATGAACACCTGTGCATAGTCAAAACTAAAATATACTAACTGACAATGATCCAGCCAATTCCATTCTACTCCCCTTACACGAATGATAAGAAGTCAGCACATGCAATAAAATGAACCAATACGCGCGCACAGAGTGAGAGAGAGAGAGCCCATAAAATTTGCAATACTACTTAATGAGGGCAGCAGGTACATCTCAGTTCATTCCCTTGAATTCCGAACAGGCTTAACGGAGTCCATTCATTCATTCATCCCAACTAGGAACTAGTTCAAAAATTCCAAAACACAAATAAATAAGCAAACAGCAATGCAGATGAAAGAAATGAATACCTTCCAACCCCTGAGCGCATATTAACATCACCATACTGCCTCCTGAATAATTGTTAAGTCTCCTGGTTATAATCCAGGCACTATCATTAAGCATAATTCAAGCGGAAAATGTCATTCAACACGTAGAAGCTTCCTTGTGGAGTTGGCATCAAATGGAACATCTGTGCAAAAGCAGGCCAAGAAATAAGAAAGGTGAGGCAACAGTTAGGGGAGAATTAATTAAGCAGAACGTGATTCATGAAAAAACTTTAATTTATGTAGATGGCAAAGGTGAAAATTTATAAGAGCAAGAGTCGCCTCCCCTTCACACATCCACAGCTACATGCACATAAACCTCCAAAAATACAAGATCCCATCATGAAACTTAAAATTACATATTTATTTATTTTTATGTAAAATGTCCGTATCCTAGAGAGGAAAAGAGGGAAAATGAAAAAAAACATATCTTTTAAAACATTCTTTAAGAATAAATTCATCTTTCTTGTTTTACACAGGTCACAGAGTAAGAAATACATACAAATTCAAGAGGAAGAAATCATATACAGTGTTAGAACTTCAGTGTTTATATTCTATGAAGATTTTGTTCTTTTAAAATGTTCACCTATGAGAACCAAATCAAGTAGAGCACGAGCATTCGTCCAGTAGTACATATAATAGCAACACATATTTATTGAATGTTTTCTCACCTTAACAAGCTGAGATCACAAGCCCCTAGAGAAGAACATATAAATTTAATTTTTTGTGAACTGAAACACCAATTCATAATTCCATTTACATAAATAGAAATTTAGATTTACGAAATATTGTAGACACATCAAAAGTAAATTCCATACTACATAAAATGCTATCATCTTAGCATTTTCTGAATACTCACTTCAAGCAATTCTTAGTTTTTCATTTGTCTAATGAATTGTCACATACAAAACTGCCATTTAATTGAAATAAATGCACCTATAAGTTTTGGCACCGATCAAATTCTACCTTCTCAAAAGAATTACAAAACCATTACGTAGTGGTCCATGATAAATAAATAAAAAAAGAGGTATGCATATACACAACCACAGCCAATAAAAGCCGTCAACGCAAATATGCAATGGTGAACACCACAGTCAAAGGATCCCCCTTGCCCATGCAATGTTGCTTGGGTGAGATTATACATTCCCAGTTGTATTTAGGACATCTCTGTGATTCATGTACGTGGCAAGAATTGGGGCAGGAAATGTAAATGGAATTGGGGAACTTTATGAACACTTTTTTGTTTATGACACCTCAATGGATCCGAACCATCTACAATCTACATTCGTGGATTATTTGTTTGTCTTGACAAAGATTTGCATAGAAAAATGACCATTAAGTTCAGACAGATTATCTGTCTTTGTCCAAGGGTGATCTGCGGACGACTCTCCCGTGGTTCCATTAATACATGTGCGCTAACAGTTTCATTTCAAACATAAAAATCAATTAAATACGGCCGATCAACTGTCCAGAATAGCACGCAGTAAATCAAATCAAGCATGAATCCCTAATCAATTAAATGGCCACTACTCAGGGGGTGAATACTTGTTAAAACCCGCGCACTAATCACAGTGTATGTCTGCAGATTTAAATAAGCGTAACGAACAACAACAGAAAGTGTCTGGTTAACACCTGACTGAATTTGAGGGCGTGCTGTTCGCCCGCGAGCTTGAGGTTGCCAGAGACGAAGACGAGCATGCCACCAGCTGGGCCAGAGGGCTGACAGTCGACGGTGGTGATTTGGTGCTGGCACTGCTGGAAGGGGAGGCTCGTGAGCTTGGCCACTATTATTAGAAACTAAAGGAATAATGTTAGTTAGTATTAGTTAGTCCAGTTAGCTATTAGTTAGTCCAGCTGTCATTATGCATTCTATTTTCATTTTTCCTATTTTCAGCTTTCCCGCCTATTTTGCTTCCCTTCCATATATATACCATGTAATCACAGACTTTCCTTGATAAGATGAATATTCAATTTTACTCTCTCTAATTTCGATACTTGAGTTTCAATATGATATCAGAGCAATCTATTCCAGATCTTCATCTCTTTCTATTTTAATCTTCTTACTCCATTTTACTTCAATAGAGCCGATACAGAATCAAGGGGATTCTGATGTGAATTCATCCGTAAATAAGTCAGCTGTTGATGAACCGTCCAGCCCGTTCTTCCTCCATCATTCAGACAGTCCGGGATTAGTACTTGTTTCTCAGCTGCTTACAGGAGAAAATTATGCATCATGGAATCGTGCAATGACAATCGCACTATCCGTGAAGAATAAACTAGCCTTTGTTGATGGATCGATGACCAGACCAGAGGAATCGAATACTGATTTAGTTAATTCATGGATCAGGAATAACAACATAGTTATTTCGTGGATACTCAATTCAGTTTCAAAGGAGATCTCGGCCAGCATCATCTACGTATCTACAGCTTATGAGATCTGGAATGATCTCAAAGAACGGTTTCAACAAAGTAATGGACCTCGGATTTTTCAGCTAAGGAAAGAATTCATGAACTTAGCTCAAGAGCAAAACACTGTTAGTATATATTTTACCAAGTTAAAGACTCTTTGGGAAGAATTGATTAATTTCAGACCTAATTTGTTACAAACCCATTTTTATTTAGTCAAAGTCAATGGTTGAATTGNGGAGGCTCGTGAGCTTGGCCACTATATTCTGGGAACCCATGGTCTTCTGGCCCTCGAAAGTCAACATAGACCCTTCCTGGTAGAGGTTCGACAGCCAGGCTCGATTCGCGTCGAACGTCGAGTAGTAGTGCTCCACGAATGCCTTCGCCACTGCATTTGGATCCATGAGATTTGGGACTTGGGTGTCGGTGGCACCTTTCTCTTTCGGTTCTCCCTTTTAAATACGTCAAACTGGCATGCTGTTCAAATTGTGTTCTTTGCTGGAAGAATACGCTAATAGTGTGAACCTCGTAATTGTGGGTCCTGGCCACTAAACTTTCACAAATTTCATTTTAGGGATTTAACTTCCCAACATTGGACAGGTGTTCTAAAAAATGCATTTAGATCCGAAATTTGACCTTAACATCTAGTCACAGTTCATTTTTATTCTATTTTTTAGGGATAATTGTAGCAATAGTACCAAACATTTCATTAAGTAGCAGACTTTGCTCAAACCTTTCATTTGTGCCACCTACGATACAAAATCTTTCAAAGTGTTACGGCTGAAGTCTAAATTGATGGTTTCTGTTAGTTTGACCGTTAATTGATTTTTACAATAAATTTTACTAATTGTNAAAGTGTTACGGCTGAAGTCTAAATTGATGCTTTCTGTTAGTTTGACCGTTAATAGACTTTTACAATAATTTTTACTAATTGTAAAATGTTAAAATGGTAACTTTACATTTTTTATAATAAAACAACCAAAATAAAATAATTAAAATTAAAAACTCATTTTCACATTCTTCTTTTTCATCCGCCCCACACATACCCACCCCAAAACCATCACCACCACAACCGAACGGCTCAACCGCACCCACCCAACGCCGACGTTACTGCCATCTCCTCCACCACCACATTCATTCCCATCACTCAACAAATTTTTCTTCCCCTCAAAGTTTTCACTTTTTTACACTATCTTTGTTAGAACCTTCTAGAATTACAACAATTCTATGCCCCTTTCTCCTCCCTCTCTCAATTAGATCTCGGAGATAGGGTCTGGCTATTAAATTCATTCATTTAAATACTACATATCAACATGAATGTTATATATTCATCCCACTTTAAATACATACATAACATTATAGATTCACACAATCCCTAACACTATATATCCACATGAATTTTATATCTCTAATACTATATATCCATACGAATTTTATATATTTATCCCCCTTTAAATTAAAATCTCTTTCTCGGTTGATAGAACTCGAATTTTATATATATCCAATTTTATGTGTCGATATATCCTACATTAAGGGTGTGTTTGATGGATATTATTTTGGAATAGTAGATTGATGGAGAATGTATGGTTGAAAAAAAAAGGAAAAGTTATTGATATGATGGAAAATATTATTTTATTGAAAAATGTGTGGTTGAAAATGAATAAAAGAATGAAAATGAAAATTTTGATGTATGCCGAACAGGGGCTAAAAGTATAGTGTCAAATAATGTCAGTGATATAATCCAAAAATAAATAAGATAACAACTAAAACAGGTAAGTGTGTGAAATAGCAGATGAGTTGAAACTTTTCCAAATACTTGTGAAGAAACCCACTACAATTGAGAGCCAGAAAAAAAGAAAAAATTTGCACATATAAAAAGACAACAGAGACATTGAGCATGGGAAACACACCCAAGACTCGCAAACCCACAAGTTGCCCAAACCTGTATGTATATCTTTATCCATCTTATATACTGCACTAAACATTAGTTGGCTAACCCTATCGAGTTTGTTAATGTATATACATATATGCATAATACACATGTTAGTTAGTCCCACATTGATTAGAAAGTAAAATATTCATATCAAGTTAAACTATAAATAGGATGCCTCTCTTGTAAACAAATTACACTATTCAATACAATTCTATTCTCTTTATATTGTCTTATTTTCTCTC